TACAGAAATTGATTTCTAAAAAAAAATAGTTGGGAAATCTATGTTAGGCAGTTGGGAAATTTGAAGCTTCTCCCCCCCCTGGAATTTAACCAAGCAACGCCACTGCGAGGATATGCCTCACAAAATGTCAGTCGTACACAACAGGCAGGACGAGCCCGACTACAGGAGTGTAGGGACTAGTATTACTAGTGGTTTTTACTAGTAGAGACAGCAAGTGTATTTCATAAAATTTTTACTCTTGTAAATTACACTGGTAAATACTTGCCATTTTCTACCAACCTCTCTCTCTACACCTGTACTATTTGTAGTAGGGTGGTATTTTTTAAAAGAGTAATATTTTTAATTACTCACATCTTTGTAAAAATGAATTATTAAGTTCTTTTTGCAAGTATAATTTGGCTCTGTTGAGCCTAGCCTGAGTTAGGACATAGGACGAACACCTAAAACAATAAACTTGGTACTTACCAAAGTAGTCTTTTTAATGTTGGGCCAGAAAGTGTCTCGAATATACGAATAGTTTTTGCTGTCGTCCTTCAGCGGTCCGAGGGCCAAACACATTAAAAAAAACTTCTTCTTTTCATCCACCTTGCTGTTTTGCCAGGGTACTTGAAAAAGTTCAAAACAAATTGTTCTTAGACGATTTAATTAGATTCAAAACTTGACCCTTCTTTTCTTTGCTCATGGTGAGCTTAATTTTATAGGTACGGTAAAAATAAAAAATAAACTATGAAAATCACAGCGAATGCGGCATCAACAGATTTACTTCCACCAATCTATTGAGCGCCACAACTTCAACCGGCTACTAACAATGACCGTTTTTACGGCGACCCCGGCAGAGGGCTCATTGATGGACATAAATTATTGCGGTTCGATAAATAATATGTTATTATTTTACTTATATGTCTATATTAATCAAAAGAATACAATGCCTTTCTAGCTATTTATTTTTAGTATCAATTACAAAAAAATTTAAATCCTTTATGAAGCGTCAGAAAAGCTGTAATTGAGGTTATAAATAAGTGTTGAGAGTTCACTTGTAAAGTTGATCACACGACTAGTAAAATACACTAGTATTTACTAGTGGTAGAAAAACTTGTATGAAACACTAGTTAGTAGGACAGGTAAATACGGGACTAGTAAGACTAGTATTTTTATGAAACAGGGCCCAGCAGACCAGTAGTTCATCAGGTAATCAATTTTTAAAATATCGCAAACTATTGAATTTTCTTAGACTTATGGGTCCACGTGGTCTGGCTGATATGAATACATATATGTCTATGTCAAAAATAAAACTGAGTGGAAGGGCCAGCAGAGCCAAGCAAGACTATGACAACCTAATGAAAGGTATGGAAATATGGACCCAACGACTTTACCCAGCTGGCAATTTTGATGACAATCTCAAGAAAATCGAGCAGCTCGGTAACAGTAGAGCAGTCAAGGCAAGTAGCATAGGCCTAAACATAATTCTACTTATCATTTTAGAGTTAGTACATTCTTGCCAAATACATTTTTATATTGAAGGAGACAATTCCTAACAGTAAAAAAAATCAAAGGTTCACCTTTAAATTTACCCAGTCTCTATGATGATGACTGATCAAATTGATCACCATTCTAACATTTTACATATATATTAGAGTGAAAATTTAAAAACGTACATTTTCAAGAAAAGCACTTTGCAAATTTTTTTCCCCCTTTTTTCAAAACTTTTATTATTTTTTTATTTCATTAACATTTGAAGTTTCATAAAATGTCCATGGTAACGCAATATATTTGGTAGTTTTTTTTTAAAGAACATCTTTAGTGGAAAAACACAAAATCCTGTCACGACCATAACAGACGTTTAAATGAATATTAAAAATAGTTAATATTATTTTTATAACTATGTTTTGCTATAAACTAATTTACTTTTATGACCATTATACATTAAAAAGGTCACTGAGCTTTTGGTATATTTGGTCTTTCTAGAAAAAAATAAAAAACTCAAAAAATTGAAAAAAAGCCGATAAAATCTTTTTAAGTTTGTATAACTCCGAAAAAACTTACCTGAGACCCGAACAATCGTTATGTTTGTATAGAGGTGTGCTTCTTTTGTGTATAAAACATTGAAATATGACGATATTTTAATTTTTGAAATTTTTATGATAGAAATCATAAACGTGATGGTCAGGGACAAGCGGTACGGTCGTGAATTTTCTAAAAAAATCTAATTCTTACTAAACAATCCTTCAACTATACTGTTAGTTATAATAAAAATATGTGTTTCAATTGAACTAAACTGTTCAAATTACAATTATATTAAAGTTATTGTCACGACCAAACACACTATAATCCATAAGGCTGGATTGGTCGTGAAAAAACCTGCGATGGTCGTGAAACTTTGGTCGTGAAATTACGTGTTATTTGGCTCTGTTCTGGCGGTTGCCCTGCACCTCATGTTCGAGGATACAAAGTGGACTTCTAGGTTAATCTAGCAATTGAAATATCTTATAAACAAAAATTAACACCATGCCTACTTCATCGAATGACTTCGTACGGTCATGGACACACCAAAATTACAAAAAACACAACCTTTCTTTTATTAATCTTGTAATTCCTCCTTTCAACTCGAAACGACCGGCACTACAATCCTGACGTACACCCCGAACTAGTCTCTAAAACCAACTAACTCCATCGACGCCAGGCTTGCCACTGTCGTGCTCCAAAGTTGAAATTTTTTCCCAAATGGTCGTGACGCCAAATCGAGGGACAGACTTATTTTGTCATGGTAGTCAGTTTGCAATTTGCAATGACAATAAAATTATAATATGCTCCTTTTTGTAAGTTTAATAACCATTGATGACATAAAAATATGGCTTTATATATTTCGGCATGAATAATTAGTCTAAAAACAGCGTGAAAGTTGGAAAATGTACCCTAGGGACACGTCATGGTCGTGAATTTCGAGACTTTAAAAATACGAAAAAAATTCCTAGAACCTATTTAAAACCAAATAAATGTGTGTAACATGTTGCCCCCGTCCCAAAAAATATTAAAACACAACACATATTAATAAACTACAAATCTAGTATCTACGAAGTAAAAGGCCAGGGACATGAAAAAGGAACGTTTTTAAATTTTCTATCATTAACCATCATGTAAAGCTTTAGTATAAATGTATATTATACAAAGCCTTAGAAGAGGTAGTTTATTATATTTGCTTAATCAACTCTCAAGCTTAAAAATGAGTTGTATCTTTTAGGAGTGTAAACTATAAATCATAATGCTTTTTTTTCAAAATAAAACTGTACTAACTAATACAGTAACCTTGTTAACTTAGACAATCGCTACCCATTTATCAGTGGATTTCTACAATCCACCTATTCTGTTATAGTGACAGTTAATAGAGGTTCCACTGGGTTTCTTAGAATCTATTATTGGTTAAATTTTCTGTCTGGATTTTTAGAGCTACGTCAACCGAATAAGATCGGGGCTAGAAGATGTTGGTGGAGAGTCTGATTCGGGCAGTGACGTTGAAGTAATAGAAGAACTCTCTTCTCCTAACCCACCACCAAACACTGATGATAATACTTTTAGTGCCATAATTTCTGCAAAACCAATGCAACCCCAAACCTCTGTTGCATCAACATCAAAACAGGTAGGCCTATTGTGCTACATCTGGATTCTATGCTTTTTAAGACGCATAATAATTTTATTCCAGGTCTTGGAACGTTTGGGGTGCAATGATTGAAATAAAAACACCATTTGGGGAATTAAATAAAACCCGGCCAACTACATGTTTACGGTTTGCTGGAATCTTGAGGACTGGAGAGCAAGGAAACTTTTGGATCGGTGGTTAAACGTGGAGGGAAAAGTGGCGTGATGGGTTGTAGCCAATCCGGGAGCTTTATTGAAATCATACGATATGACGTCACAGTCGCCTGATCGCAGTCAGGACACCAATGCAAAATATATTGCCAACTCTTTATAACACAAATCTAAATATCGTAAAAATGGCAACATTATGGTGCATTATTGTATACACTACATTTCCTCCCCTTTAAGTTTAAAATTATTTTTTCTTAAAATACGCCAATTTTATTAACACATCAAACCAATTGAATAATCATTGAATAACCTAAAACAAAAACACTTTTTTATAAAACAATATTTTATGATTCAATCAAATAAGACAAAACAATAAACATTAAAACAAGCAACCTTGATAAAATTGGAACAAAACACAGAAATAAATATTTACAAATTCAACCTTTCAGTAGGTTTTATTTCTCTGGCAGAACGCCTCAATGGCAATGTTTGTTTGGGTCGATCAGCTGATCGTACAGGTGATGTAAAGGTCACTTCCGGTGGAGTAAGCGAAGAGCGCATACTACTACGTTTACTACGTCCTGGAGTACGAGGTGTACTCGGCATTTCCAGTCTCATGGGTGAAGCCCGACCATCTGACTGAGCATTGTTACCCACATCCTGGTCAAACATGTGTTCAGCTGGAGGCAACACTACCTCTCTAGCAATATCATTCTGTTGATCATTCAAATTTACCTTAGTGTTTAACCCTACCAGCTGGTCAATATGGCGCTTCCATACAATACCTGAGTCTAATTTTACTAAATAAGATACAGGACTTAACACTTTAATCACTACACCTTGTGTCCATTTATTTCTTCCCCTGTAATCATGGACTAAAACAGGCTGTCCTATTGACAGTTCTCTAGTTTGACTGCCCCCTTTGTTTACAACTTGTTTGTGTTGGTTTGACAAAACCGTTTTACTAACAGAAGGACGTTGCAATCTAATGTAGTTTGCAATACTCTACCAAACATTAGTTTGGCTGGAGTTTCATTGGTTGTATTACAGTAACCTTATTGTTAACTTAGACAATCACTACCCATTTATCTGTGAATGTCTACAATCCACCTATTCTGTTATAGTGACAGTTAATAGAAGTTCCAGTGGGTTTCTTAGAATCTATTAATGGTAAAATTTTCTGTCTGGATTTTTAGAGCTACGTCAACTGGATAAGATCGGGGCTTGAAGATGTTGGTGGAGAGTCTGATTCGGCCAGCGACGTTGAAGTAATAGAAGAACTCTCCCCTCCTAACCCACCACCAAACTGATGATAATACTTTTAGTGCCATAATTTCTGCAAAACCAATGCAACCCGAAACCTCTGTTGCATCAACATCAAGACAGGTAGGCCTATTGTGCTACTTCTGGATTCTATACTTTTTAAGACGCATAATAATTTATTCCAGGTCTAAAAGTTGTAGCCGCATTTAAGTGTTGTATTAGCATCAGCAGGTTGTGGCTAATAGACAGCATGGACCACACATATAGTACTCTGTAAAGAAAAAATAAAGAAACCCTGCTTATTTCACTCATATATTTAAATATTGTATTTAAATATATCTACTCCTTGCAATGCTCTCAAAGTGAATTCTTTACAAATCTTGGTTGCCCCTGGGTTGGAAGAACTTGGAAGTAAAAATACAAAACAGAGCTTGGCAGTGGAAGCTTGATGTTAAAGAAATATTTGTGTGGGCCCTGTAAAATAAGAATACTCCCCAAAGGTCCTTAGGGGACGTTCTTGGTACTGTTTGAAGTTCTTCCAGACTGTAATACCTTTGATTTCAAAATAATAACCAATCTTAATCTACACTGAATTTAATTTGCTCACTACTACACTATTATTTAGTGTTGCACTTAAAAGGTGAATCTTTTGTAGTGGCCTATGATTTACTGAATTACCTTTATTTCAATGTTTGAATAATACTACTAATAATGATTTACCAAGGTTATTGAGAACTATAAAATGAGTAACAATTTGAATTTATTGCACAGAATTTGATAATTACACTTTTCAATTTACAGTTGCTGTTTGTGTTTTATATAATCAAAATGACCTTGAGTTACACAATCAGTTGGAAATTATTGAAACGATTGAATGAATTTATCAAAGGGGAGGTACGGTGCGGTTTCACACCGATCACGAAAGTGTTAACGGAAGAGTGGTATTTAATTTAATTTTGAGATGACCAGTACCAAGCAAATCCTTTTCGTTGGCCAACGATTAAAAAACGAAGGTCGTCTCGCAGTCCAACTGATTAAACAATATTGTATTCAATCGTAGTAATGTTTATTAGAATGTTGCTTTATTATTTTATAGCTAATTTGGTACTTTGGCGGTTCATCTATGTTCAAACTGACACAACCTCCGACAACACTTCCGCATCAATCGAACCAGCTACCTGCTCCCTCCTCTGACATTAATTTATTTCCCCCAAAAGATACTGACTGTGACACTCTTTAAAAGAACTGTACCATTTACTCAACAATGAAAATTGATAATGACTCTGTGTAAAAATTCCAACACTATGAAAATCTTATTAATTAACTCTGAATTTCCCTAAAAAAACATTTTCGTCTATTTGTTCTTAATACTATTTGATTATCACAGCTTAGAAAATATTACAGATTATTACACTATAAATGGATACAAAAATCAGTGACTTGAATTCGAACCTGGAAACCATGTGATCATTTGACATGAAATAACAAAATATGACAGGAAAATTACAATGTGCGACTCACTGAATTCTAAATTTAACAAATAAATAACACAAATTACTTACAAATTCGGACGTCCACACTAAACACAAACACTACTTGAAGGATAGGGATGGGGAATTGTAACTAGCCGGTATTCTATTCAAAAACGCGATCAATTTGAACTTGCCTGACGAACGTGAATTTTCAAATGGCGGACTTCGTTGGCCGGTTAAAACAAACTTTTGACACTTTTTGAATTTCAAAACTGATTCTAATTTCCAACCGCGTTGCAAATATATCCCTTAGGGATATAGGTTAAACGATTTCGAGGAAATGAAAATTTATCCGACCAAACGCCGCGAGATGAATTTAATTTGCACGGACAAAAGGCTTTACTGAACTAGTTACACAGGAGCTAGGAAACGAACTGGGGCTGGTGGAAGCAAATGACCATCCGACTAGACCTATCCCCTCTACTCTTTTAGTGCGTGGTGCATTCTGGTCTATACTGATCTATTGTTCAAAACAGCTGACTGTTCTTCGCGTTAACTTGTATTGATTTGTTGCCTTTTTCAACAAAATCGGTACAAAATGCCCCCTAGCAGAAAAAAATGATCCGTGATCGGCCTAGGACAGTCCAACCTATCGTACTACCTCGGAGCATTTTTGGTCTAGCCAGTGGACCACGACAATACACATAAACACAATTACAATTTACAATCAACAATAAGGCAACAACAATTTAAATAATGGTAACAACAATTTTTTTTTTTTTTTTTTAAGTGGACTCTTGTGACAAAGGGCCAGTATTCACCACACCTTGACACCACGCAACGGTGTTTCACGCACAAAACAGACACTTTGATGTGCCACCATGTGATAATCAGCAGAGCGTGATGTCAGAAGCGGAGAACAGCTGGGCTCGTAGTAGTCCATTGTTGTGGTGAGTGCACAGGTGCAGTGGCTCTAGTAGGTCAGCGGGGAGGGCTGGGCGGGCGCTCAACAATGCTATCAGTAGCACCAGCGATAACAGTGTTGTCCAACCTCGGCCTCCTCGATTGCATCACCAGATACAACACTCGTCGATTCATCTCACTGTTTGTTCACTCACAACTTATTTCTAATTGCTGCCCTTAATTAAAACTTGTTTTGCGTTCTCATTTGTAATTCAAATATTTTCTCATCTTAGTCTAAATGGTAACTTCATTCAATTGAGAAACGTCATGTTGTTACTTCTAAAACATTAACAAAACATGGTCGACACAAAACATTTAATTACACACATTTACATTTTGACACTCCAAACATTGATTCCGACGGTTTTGCACATGAACGAACATTAAAAACATTATTTCGCAGCTTCTTGTCTGACCGATTGGAATTTTCACAACACGGTTTTTTCCGAATGCGGAGCATATCAATTCTTTATTATCAAGCTGGCGTATTGATTCAATTGATGAAAACCATCACAACAGCTTACGAATCGATTAGGAACTCGACATTTACTATCATTTCGATGCAGGCCGAATCCCATCACGAACGCATCAACTGATTTCGGTAATCACAACTGAATCGACTTAAACCTAAATAAAACACTCCTCAACTGCATTTCGGCGAATTCTTTGACTTTTACGATCATTTCGATGTATGCACAAATTTTCACCTAATGCTAAATACCAAGCTATGAAAAAGATAAAGATATTATTCGCCCTACACCGGTGACATGCGACCTCTAATATTCGCAGAGCTACTCTAATAAATGCTTAAAATGGGCGTCGATGTTATTGTGCGACATCATTTGACCTTGACAACGTCGGAACCTAGTTTAAAGCACCCTACAATTCCTAGCGATATGGCCTTCTCCTTGACAACGATAACATTTTACGATCCTTTCCCTGGGTCTATTTCGTAGATCGTTTGACGACGTAGTCGGATTATGTCGAGTTTGATTTACAACCCTAGACGACGAATTAATCAATGGCCGTCGATTTGCATCACCAAAATACCTCTCTTGGGCTCGCATTGAACTAGTGATTCGATTGACGAATGATTTCAGCTCGAACAGGCTTTGCGGCATTTGTCCAAACGAAAAATGACTTCGGACAGTTGGATTACATTTTGTCAACGCAATCTCAATTACTTCGCCTTCTGACATTGATGATTTTAAAGCAAATGCGATGGATATGATATGATCGACGTATTCTGAAAAAGTTTCATTCGGTTGTTGTGGTCGATCTAACTCAAACGATGCAATCTCTCGTCGCCTAATTGACGGAATAAATCTGTGTAATATCTCGTCATGTAAGATATTCCAACGTACGTTACTTGATACTGCTTCTAAAAATAATTGGAACATTTGACCTTTGACCTTAGGGATGATGAGTTTAATGATCTCTGTGTGACAATTCGGAGAAATATCAAATATTGGCTTGATATTTTTGAGGAATGAAATTAATTCAAGTTCATCTGTGCCGTCGACTGTATTTAATTTATTAATTAATTCGATTACCACAATTTGATCAGTTTTGGAAAGTGGTTGACTGACATTGTATGTGTGAGCGTGTACGTGTGTGTCATGGTGGGTGTATGTGTGAGTGTCAGGTTGTGTGGGAGTGCGAACGCGTGGCATATGTGGATGGTCAGGGAGGGTGTGTCGGTGTACAGTGGCACTGGCCGGGGCAACAGTAGACAGTGAACCAGTCGCTACAGGAAACGACGCGCGTTGTTGTGCAGTCAATATCTCTATCTCTCTCACACGCTCGTTCGAAGGTTGAATATCCACATACGATGAGCTATTGGCATGACTGTTGTTTTGATTTGTATTCGACGTACTTGATAGCATTTCAGTCAATTCGTGGTTGTTTAAATCCATTAAACAACTATTGGAATTTTGTCTAATTGGCGACGGTTCGTCATCGTTTACGATCGGTAAACGACAATCGGAATTTTGTCTACCTAAATTAGCTCCATTGTCATTTGGTGGAACTATTTCATTGTTATGGTTGATCGTTGCATTTAAATCGATTAATTCCCCTAAATTTCTCCTTGACATACGGTCACGTCGGTCATTCGCAGTTGTATTATACCCAGGCCCAAATTGTCGGTGCATTTTTTCGCTAGGAAAATAATTCAATTTACAATAACATATCTCACTTTAACAAAACAAATATTTCACGGTGACGAAAAACGATTGACAATTAATCACAGCACAATACACAACAACAATAACAACAATAATAGAATTTCTTATAATCTAAACAATTTCAGTGAATCGCACAGACACAAACAGTACCAAGAAATCACGCGATGATATCATTTATTTGTAAAGAAAAAATAAAGAAACCCTGCTTATTTCACTCATATATTTAAATATTGTATTTAAATATATCTACTCCTTGCAATGCTCTCAAAGTGAATTCTTTACAAATCTTGGTTGCCCCAACTCCTAATGTTACAAATTTATACTGTTACATAATAATCAACATTGTTATGGATTTTAGGAATCTGTAAACACTCCATATGAGGTTGAGTCCATCTGACATAATAACTCCTACGTTTCCCTAATTCAGAATTGCCATTTTGAACCTGATCTATAATTATTCTTGTGACGTAGTATCAGTGGCAGATATGACAGATGCACGTTGTCCACCACAAGGTCTTATGTCTCCCATATCCCCACTCGCATAAGGTTAATTAAGTTCGGTCATCTACACTTCTCCACTGACCCGATGACAGGGCCGGATTCAGCATTTTCGCGCCCCTAGGCCCAAATAATTTTTCCGCCCCCTAGTCTGGTCACAGTTTCTTTCCTACAAACCTTTATTAAAAACTATATCATGCATCTAGGCCTATGTTAATTGCTTGAACACCACTCCTCGTCGGAATTTTATAATTGCAAGTTTTTTGAAGAATTGTCTTGGTTAGCCTTAACAAAATGCCGTATTACACAACACAACAACACTTTTGTCAATTTTATGCTTTTGGCAAATGCTCACGCTTGTGGGACTGAAACAAAACAATCCAACCCACAGAGCATTTCTGCAAAAAAGCATATCCATTGATTCCGATTTCAGGCCCCAAAACATGAACTCCATAACAGTACGTGATACCATAGATTAAACATACTCCTTTAGTAGATTTGTGATCCTTAGGGATTAGCTGAAAACAATTATTTTTATTTAAGCTATTTAATGCTTGTTTGTCAAAAATAAAATGATGTAATCATAAACAATAGGTCGTCCCCAGGTTATATTACAAGAAATTAAAACACACAACAAAGAACTATCCAAAAAATAATAGAAACAAAATTACGTGAAAAGTAACTTCCAGTGTCACCAACACATATGAACTACACATTAAAAACTATATTTAGAATTAACAATATGATAAAAAGTCGACTTGAGTTTATGGTTAATCTATGGTAGTACTGCATCCAGGTTATATTTGCAAAGCAAAACAAAGCAATAGTCCCGCCGACCATAATTATCTTTAGGTCTAAGCCAAAAGCAGAAAATGACACCATTAATGGTTTCTTTGGAGGGGATTTAATTTTTCTAAAACCTGTTGCAAACTCAGATAAATATTTTTTCGTTATTGAATTTTAAAGATAAACTTATCGTATTTTTAATAGATATTCAACAAAACGTATTATATATTTTAACTTAACCCTGCAGATAAACTGATCAAAAGATTATGAGGTGAGGGTGGTAATGGTGTCTAGTACGCATGCGCCCCTAATCACTCCGATCAGTAGCGCCGAGTCAGCATAGTGGCAGTGCAAAGATTACAGTGGCAATACGACCCGTACCGCTCGGGCGCTTGACAACATCCCTACAGCCTACTCCTGTATAACCAATGTTCGTTACCAATGTTGTAACGAAATTGATGCGTAATGTTGTAACAGATATATAATTGTAATGCTTTATTGGCAAGAGTTCTTTTTTATCAACTCGCAAAATATGTTAAGCTATGGCTATTAATTTTATTTTTAGATTAAAAAAATATTTTTCCTCTCGGCCGTGCGCCCTCTGTGAGCTTGCGCCCATAGGCCCGGGCCTATTGGGAAATCCGGCCCTGCCCGATGATGATTCTCTACCAGGTCATGGTATTTTTTTAGTCTCTCTCTCCTTGTGTGTGTGTTTGTGTTTTTCTCTCTGACTTCATATGTATGAATACTAACTAACTGATTATTAATAATTGTGCTCTAAGAAATATTGTATGTAAATTAAAATTGCTCTTGTGTATACACTTATTACTTTAGCCGACTGGCCCACTACAGTGTGGTTTAAATTACCTTGTTACTGTTGAAACGATCCTTTGTAGTTTGTTAAGATTACAGCTGTTTCATGCTTTGAATGGAGCACCTAATCAGGTCAGAAGAATGTCAAGTAGTCTTCATTAGATATTCCTCAGAGTGGAGTTTGTCAAAAGTTTAATAATAAATAGGTATCAAATCACATAACACACGGAAACACAAAACATTTAGCACTGGTCGACCAGACGTTAACAACACGTGATACGGCTCCGGCTGAGGGTGAGCCGCGACTGTCCTGTCACATGTCGTTAGCTTGACCCCTACCCCTACTCCCATGTTATCCTTATCTCCTTCCTTTGTTGTCTGTTTATTGTGTATTTGAATAGTGGTGTTGTAAATGATGTTTGATTCAAAAGATAATTATTGACAATATCTGTGTAATTATGGTTGGAAAAAATTAAGTGGTTTGTGTACACTGATTTGAAATTTTTCTTTGGTATATGTTCCTTGCTGAACCTGGAAGAAAAAGTTCTTGAAGTCTGACTGATGTAAAAATTGGGATAATCGTCACATTTTAGTTTATAAATTCCGGTTTTGTCCATTTTATTAGTTCTGGGTAGGTGTCTTTCTTTGACGATAGTAGACAGGACTGTAGTTAGCACTGACGTATCTTTTACTTTTATCTTGTGGCTTGTTATTGTTTCTATTGCATTGTTTATTTATCAGTCTGTCAATCAGAGAACCATTGTCGACTACTCTATGTTTTGAAGTATTTACTTCGTCGTTGTAATCAGTTGCGCTCATTGGGATGGAGAGTAAGCTGTGTTTTATGGTTAAGTAGGTGATAAAGAATGAATCGTCTGATCTGTAGTAGTTGGTTTTCTGTAGATTTTACTACTGTAGAAATTATGTAAATTATGTACTACAGAATGGCTGGACTAACCAAATGTATTATCAATGGTTAAATTAACCCTACAAACTAATTATTAACACTTAAAAATCTACATATATCATTATTTTATAAGCTTTTGACATCTCTTTCTTTAATCATCTTTTTGTTTCCACGCTAAGACGCTCTAAAATGTCCAATCTTTTTTCCATTGTCACAAACATATATTTTTCACTCATCTTAAAAGATAAGTAAACCTGCATACAAAACTCACATTTACTTAGATCACCTTTGCTTACTCACAACGTTCACCCTTGAAAACAATCTAATACTGTACAGTAAATAACATACAAATACAAAATTGCATACCAGAACACGCTGTTTAACACAACCCTTTACCATAATAGCAGCATCCGTCAACTATACTAACAAGAATTGTTTACTTTTATGGCAGGACTAAACATTTAAGTTGAATCCTGACGAAGGTAATTCGCCTGTGAAGATGTGACTCATACCCCCGAGATTGGCCATACCATCTGGCGGCTGATCCAACCAAAGCCGAACTAAGGAGTCTACTGTATATGATTTACTTTAGTTAGTTTTTGGTTAAGCAAAACTGTATAACTGGGCAATATATAAATTTGTTTAAAATACTTTGCTTGTTTATTAATATTATCCTTGTTCTTTATCTTCAAATAAAACTATTTGATTCAATTCAGGAGAAGGAAATCCACTAAACTAGCAATTAATAGATTTGTTGAATGGGTATATTGACGTGATGGAAGGCGGTGAGTCGGTTTTCGGTTGCTTTGCTAACCTGATCAAATCGTTTGATTGCGTCAATATACCTATCCTTTTCCATAAAATGTAATAGTATTGTATTACAAACACTGTACCTCAAAGAGTTGATCAGTAGTGAACATCGTCAGATGTTTATCTTCTGACGATGATAACTACTGATCAACTCTACATACATACCTGAAGCTGACGATGGTGTTTTAACACCGAAACATCTCCTGAATTGACATATTTTATTGAGCTGTGACGGGATTACGTAAGTAATTTAGTCTTTCACACTGCAATAAGTTCCAAACTCCACAACTCTCAAATTTAGCCAGTAAGATTTAGTGGTTAACTTTGTCATATACCTTTGAGCAATCAATATAAATCCAATCAACCTGGTGGTCATCTGTAAAGGTAGAGGATACAAAGTCCCAAAACTGCATGATATTTGTTACTGTCTCACTTAAATCACTCAGATATATGTTCTGTACAGGCCAGGGGCTTCCTAAATAATGCATTTAAATATTTCAGTGACTGCTGGTTTTTCTTAAGGATTGCGGGAAACAACACCCGCTACTTTTAAAATTTAACTAGCTATAACTACAGCCACAGTAAATTTCTAAAAAATTAGCTTAGCTACAGCTATATTTCCAAAAAAATATAGTTAGCTACAATTTTAGCTACCCATCTTTCCAAATATGTTACTTTTATTTTATGCACATTAGCGAATTATTGTAATATTAATCTAACATAGCAATTGTATCACTTATTCTAAACTTTCTGACATACTTTATGATCTCATGTTTTAACTATATAAGTACTAACTTAATTGTGGTACTTACCTCAAATTGTTCCTATCTCACATATAGTTTTAAACAACCAGGCAAAACCTTTTACTACATTTATGTTTCACTCCAAGGAAGTTGTAAGAAGTATGAAGATGTAAGAAGAAGTGGAAGATGTATTCAATTCAGTAATGACAGCCTAACAGAAATTTAAAAGTTAAATGTAAATTTAGAGTTTTAAGTAGGATAGGATAGTTGGCTCTTCGACCAAAGATGAATTACAATAAACAGCTGAAGCGGAGATTGATGGACCAGCTTTTTTATAATTTAAAGGTACTGTGTTAGTGTTAGTTTCCACTATAAAAATAAGTTAAAACTATATGGATAAAGGAAAGAAACCAAATGAGTTATTAATTTCGGTGTCAATCACTCTCAAACATTCATAGCGTTCAATTTCTTTAGCTCATCACCTGTAACGTTTAAGTCTTCTGTGTCTAGCAATTTGGGCTGACCACTGCCCAAATAGTAGCAAATGAAGGAATTGAAGCTAAAAATAAATATTCATTTTTGGCTTCCATTTCCATGCAATGCTGCCAAAGCTAATAAAACTGCTGCAACTAGCTGCATGAAGCCAAGCGAAGAGGTTGTTAAAAGTTTTTTAAAGTATTAAAAGTAGGTACTTTTGATTCCAGTAAGGTATTTTCAACATTATTTGAAAAGCCGAGAGTCGAACCTCTAAGTGAGTAGGAGGTCGACGATTGGCTTATAAACGCTCAATGTACATGATGATGGGAGATTATGTAATCGTCTTAAGTTAATTTTCAAAAATATAACTCAAACATTCGTTGATGTTGATGCTATTTTTTAAATGTTATAATTAAAATTGTCATATTGGATATTCATAATTATAAATGTTGAATAATATTTGTAATAGAGGATCATGGCCTTATGTTAAAGGTTGTTTTAATCACTTTTTGTTTGTTTAGGAGATTATTTCAACTCTGTAACTTCTGGTAGATGGTTTCCAACCAATCATATTTCTTGTCTAAATATATAAAAGGCAAAGCCCTCACTGACTCACTCATCACTCCACTTCCCATTTACCTAGGAGGCTGAAATTCGGTACACCGATTCTTTGGGCATTAAATAGGATAACTAAGTAGTTTTTATTCTGATCGGGCTTTCGGGCTCCACCCCAGTGGCTCTGGAGTTTCCCATGTTAACCTTATGATTTTTCATATTTAAAAGGAATTAATGAATCTTAACAACTGTTTCAAATTAAACAAGCTGGTTCTGTTCTATGATGTTCAATAGCATTAAAGTTACAAGGATTACCAACAGGGTGCAGCACTATTATTTTTTTATTTATGACAACAGCTAATTTGCAACCAAAAGGTGAGTGAGCGTAGCGAACAAACTTCAAACTGGAGTTGAGTTAGCGTAGCGAACGAGCTCCAACCTAAAGGTGAGTGAGCGTAGCGAACAAACTTCAACCAAGACGTGATTGACCCATGCGAATACTTACATGAAATTAAACGGGGCAAAGCTCGTGGGTACAGCTAGTATCAATATAAAAGTAGTGAGAAAAGTAGTTATAATTCCGGTACAACTACTTAAAAATGTACCTTGCTACAGCTAAAGCTACAAAATATAAAAATTAGCGTAGCTACAGACAACTAAAACTGAAAAAAATTGACTACTTCCAAACATTGCTAAAGCCCCAGATTTTATTTGTACAGTGAAATAGAACGTTAGGATGATAAGAAAGGTCCAATCCTTGCAAGATTAATCCGTCAAAGGCATACACTAGGATGTCAGTGACATTTAAGAAAAAAGTAAAAACACTTAGCAAACAACATACATTTTCCTGGTGGATCTGCTGTGTAGTCATATCTAGTACCACACATATGCTACACAGACAATGTTAATTTACCTCCAAAAATAAAAATAAATAATTATTAATTCCATACGACCTTTACGTCTGAATGTACATGTATATTTCAAGTAATTATTACAAAATAAATGTACACGTTTGTTGTGAGTTAGTCAATCTAAGATTTTGAACGTGATTACTAAAATAAGAGATATTTCAACATGATTCTGTAAAATGTTTTTCCTCTGTCATTGGCAATTTTTATTTTGTGTATAGAAAATATTGCCCCTTTTCACTTTATAGAGTTTGGTTTTATTTGATATTAAAATACTCTTAATAGACTACAAAGACGATTTCTAATAAAACTGAGCAACAAATATTTGATTTTGATAAACTACCTAATCACGTTTTATAAATTTATTAATTTCTATACAATTTACCAGATTTTCATTAAATAAAATGGTTTCAACATAGTTTATGTGTTTTATATTTTACCTGATTTTTTGTTTTAGCAGGTTTACTTTCCTTCTTGCTTAGAGTGGTTTATGGAAAGGAAATGTCTATCCTAGCTTACAAAAAATAAACAAAACTATAAAAATATCCTCTAAACATTTGTATGAGTGTAAAATTTGGTGTTATACAAGGCTGATCCAAAAAACAGGGACAATTTAAAATATCATTAGATTATTAGCTGTTATAACAGCTGGAGAGTTCATTGTTGGGCAAGTTAATGTTTATTTGATGCCATTTGGTGTATAGTTACTGTACCATGGATCATCAGTTGGTTCGCCTTTGTCATAGAGACTTTTTTCAAGAGTAGGCCTAATGAGTATCATTTCTACACAACTCCAGTTTCGTGTTCACTTCAAAGTAGATCATGATGCTAATTCCGAAAAACTATACCATTTTATGTCAATTCTTCCCAGGACATTTGATTTCCTGGTTTGGTCCATGCATCCCTGGACTTGTTGTTAATTTCACATTATATGAGAATAAATATTTTTCCACAAACCTAAGTGTTGAATAAAATAAACACTCATGCTAGTCTCCTAGCACTAATGTAGTACTAATTCAAATGTTTTTCTTTGTGACATTGTTCTACATGATATCACAGGTCCTAAGTAGTTACTCTCAACCTTCATAGATCGCTCTGGTATGCTTCTCAAACACAATGACAAAACTTTCCCCGCCCAAAGCAAATCCAATCGCAGAAACGGCAAATTTCCCACTCTCCCAGTATCAGTGTTGACGGTCTGGTGCGAGTTCGGCCACGGAACGAAATTTCCCGTGTTGTTGTAATAGTTTACTACGATTCATATACATTAATATTAAAACGGCGGCGTGAACGTGTTTGTGTTTAATCCGAATACTGTTTCAAGAAGGAATCGTGTGCGTGTATTTTGTGCCATTGGAACATTTGTTCAGCATTGGAATTGTTTTAAAGTGTGTATACATTATATAAACAAAATTGCCTTGATTTAATTATGCATTGACCTTTAGTATTTATATATTTATTGTCGCCTAAAATATTTAGCTAAATAGCCTTAGGGACAAGTAATCTCTTTATTTTGTAAATGTGCATTATATTGGGTGGCGAGTTATGTGTATCACCTTAATAAGTCGTATACCTATTCCACACTACATTTCTAGGAACATATAAGGAACATGGTGCAATTTTTTAAATTAGTTTCACTTAAGTTTGAACAATTATTCCTGCCATATTTTATTGGTCCCTTCGCTGTCGTAGTAAACTAACTAAGTTTCGTGAACTCTGTAATGTATTTTGAATCGACCTGAAAGTTTTTGATCTAACTAGTAAAATTTCACTAATTTATTGACGATTTTATTTTATGTGCATATAAGTTAATATAGTTTGAACACCTAGTATAAATTAAACAAAACAGTAAATTAATATTTTACTTTTAAAACAAAACTTAAAACACGTTAATAAATTGACGAGGGGATCGTTGTCATATTGAACACATAAATTTGTTTATGTTCATTTTATACTATATAAAGAAATATTTTGAGGAATCGAATGAAGTTGATATATTGATGATTTCCAGCACTATTATTTAATGCTGAAAATCGTGCGCAAACTCAAGGAGCTCACCGTATCACAGGCGAGCCAGGAGATTGTTGGCAAAAAGCAAGGGATAACATAATCTGCTGCTTGGTCCTGTTGTGCCTGTGCCGGGCCATTCAGTCATTCAGTGTAGTGTATATGGACACGAGAGGTGTAATTAAGGGCTTGCACAATTGGTCGTCTGTTTTTATGTATGAATGTACTCCGACTTGTATACCTGAATGTAAATGAATAGTGACATTTTAACTTTGGAATGTGTAAGCTTGAGTGAACATATATTTATTTTACAAATTCTGTTGTTATTGTAAACAAGTGATTACTGTGTGGGTTTCTCTGCAGGGAAGTTGTTCGTGACTGCTTGTGTCAATGGCGACAGATCACCTCGGTTGACGTATAGTGTTTTATAATATTGTACTCGTGAAGATATCGGAACTTGTTTAGTTAATATTTACTGAGTTAAACTAGATATCTTTTTTTGCGAAGCACAAATCATAAATACTTAGACGTGAGTGGGAGTGGATAACCAGTATGTGGAGGGCATTTTGTGTGTCATATTGTTGCAACTCAGAGCAATGAAGTTAACAGAAACGTAACATTTCCAGTGATAATCAGCCGTGCAGCTTTTGGAATCGATAATTTGTCACCGAATCTTATAGTGGAATGTTAAAATCACACGAAATAAACGCTGATAAATTATTTACAACACATGTTGCTTACAGATGGTGGACATTTTGCAAGTGTAGTTTGTGCTAGCCTATATGATTTGACAATGAACGTATTTATGTCTCAGAGCTTCGGCTTAGAATTCGTTATATGAGCAGATGATTATAAAAATCAACAGGATACACCTTAGAACCAGGTATTTACTCAACCATTTTATTTCATAAAATGTCAATATTTATATAACCTATACCAGCGTATTAGCATTAAGCCCCTACCTGTCAAACTGACATTACCTGTGTACTTATGTCAAATGAAAGACCAATAAAAAAAACTAAAGATCTGAACTAATAAGGCCTAGCCTATGAGCTTATCTTAAATTAAGCGTTCATAAAACTCAAAATTATTTCGGGATTAGATTTTTTAACCCTTCCAGGGCTAAATTAAATGAAGGGCTGGAGCTTAATTATTTTTTGCCAAAAATGAAAAACTAAAGTGGTTGTGTTTTGTATTTATTTCACTTGAAATAATTCATGGATCATAAAAAGATTTTCCTTAGGGCTGAACTAATTTTTGTACAAAAGTTATGAAGAAAATAAAATTTGATTTGACGGATATATCCGTCTTTGGCCCACAAAAAACATAAGGTGGACGGATATATCCGTCTGCCGCCCTCAGTGATAATCACAAAATATGAACACTGCCAATAATCTTGAGTATTCTTGTGGGCGGTAGACGGATATATCCGTCAACCTTAGGCTATTCCTTCCCTTGTTTTATTTTTATCCATAAAAATGTATCTATCATTCTGAAGTAAATCTAAACCACTCAGTTTTGCTCCCATGTCCTCAATCCCATTCCCCGCCAAGACTTCCACTACGTAAAGACTGTTCTTCAGGTGCATCATATCCATCACATTCCATATTATTATTTTCCCTGCCAAGTATAAAACCCCTCTCAGACATACTTTTATTAAGCATCTCAATAACATCTTCAATTTTCAGATTGTTTGCATTAGTAACTTTAGCTCAATAACATAAAAATAAAGTACAAAACACAAAATGTAATCATCACTCACTTACAACCATGTGTGAAGTGACAGCAATATTTACTTACGCACACTCTATGGTGCAAAATAGCCGAAACAGCTGCGGCAATTGTTATTGCCAACCACAAAAACAAAATAACCCATTTATAATGCAGTGTAATGTTTATTACCGTATTATAAACATTGTGTATCAATTCGCTTTTTGGACGGATATATCCGTCTTTATCCCAGAAAAGAAATTTCTCGGGACGGATATATCCGTTTTCAGCCCGGAAAGTAAACAAAGATTGACGGATATATCCGTCCATAGCCCTGGAAGGGTTAATAACCAAACCTAGGCCTAATTTTATAAATCAATCTAAGTTATAAAATGACGACCTAAGTTATACTAGGCGGTACTTTGGTATCATAGGGAGGCCACATATTTTACAGCGCGCTGTGACGGTTATGTTGTGTTGGGTTATCATAAATATGTTTGTAACTTAGTACTGTAAATTCCTTGTTTCGTTATGTATCGAACGATGCAGTACCGGTACCAGATGAGTCATAAGTTGCTTTATATTTATGATAACCCAACCTAACATAACCGCTGTAGCGCACTGTATACGGGTGGCCTCCGTATAATTACTGCCTAGACTATTCTTGATTATTGAAAGTTGTCTGATTATTTATATTTAACTTATTTATCATTTTCCCCCCACAGATGGTCAAATACAGTAGATGGGTTAAGCTAACTCATTACATTTTTCATTCAACTTACGTAGGCTACATTGTTTAGGCGGCGTTAAACTTAGTTTGGTGTATTTGTATAATTTAAGTCCCATAGGCCTAAGGGACGAGTTAATTCTGCTGTGATTTTAAGCTAGTTAAAATTGTGTTCCAAGCTTATTTTAGGCCTTTTTATTCCTACCACATTAAATGTATTTCACCGTTCAAGTGATAAACCACGACATAGCTTTTACATCCTTTTTGTAAGGCATTGTGATGTGAAATATTCATGACACAGCCTATCTAACTTAGCTTAGGCCTAACTTATCTAGCTGGTAACAAGACAAGGAGGATATTTAAGGTTTCCTCGTTGTTGCCCTGTAACTTACTGATTCTTTGAAATGGTCCTTGATGTCAACAAAACATGATAAAGTCAGGACTACCTTAGTGTGTTAATCAGATCTGTCCAGTTAAAGAGATGACCACGTCTGCTGACTGTAGTCTGGTTAGACCTAACTTATGTCCGATAGGTCCGAAAGGTGTCTGGATAGGGAGTCTACTGTATTCGGATGGTAGGCTAGGTTTATGGTCTCAATTGATCCGGATAACTTAGCCTACCTATTTAATTGGAGTTCTAGTACCGGCACTTTGGCTTGCTTATTTAACTTCAACATTTAGTAACAAGATATTTTAGGTCTAAACTTTTAGAGATAATGGGCCCATCCTGGAAACATGTATCGGTGCACCGGTGGAGATGATTCTATGACTTAGCCTACTCGCCGGTAGGCCTACTGCCCCAGAGCAAGAGTCCCGGGCTCCCAGAACGGTTAGTCACCGGTTTACGGTCACACCGGATTGTAATTTACATCAACCTACTATTTTCTTTATAATATTAAAGAAACTGACCAATCAGAACCGCTGGTGTATTACGCACCGTACGATTTATGAGGTCCATGAATCTTGCCCTGGTGGAGAAAAAAAGTAGACGTAGCAGTCTGCTAAGTAAACTCACCGGTCTTCCAGCATTTATTGCATCAGTCCTGTACCAGTGCACCGGTTCGTGTGCCCAGAACATGCTCAATACGGGAAAGCAAGACAGTTCTCCTTGGGCTTAAACCTAGGTCACCTGCACGAGGATAGCCCTTGTCTTTTACCCTCGATATGATAGGCTTTAAGGCACCAATTTTTAAATTTTAACTCTGCAAATTTCTTTTTGTGGTATTGTTACAATCTTACAAAGCTGGCAGCTTGATGAGTTTAGGTTAAAATCTTAGAACAATAACCAGCCTAGTAGGCCTTGATCTAGAATAGGCTCAACTTTACGGTAAGTGGCTTCGATTTCATTTTATGTGTCATAAAAGTGAAATGCATTCTTTTTATTGACTATTGTACTTTACAATCAGTGATGTTGGCTATCAGGGCAAGATAGGCCTAGGTGAACGTTACCAGTTGGTGAGTGGGCAATGAGCAGTGAGCACTTGTTTCTTTAACTTAATTAACATCTTATTTTAATTTACTATTGCTATACCTACTTAGAGTGTCAGTTGCTGATCATCGGTAGTATTTAAATTAGAGTTTTGCCAGATTATTTTATTACAATTGTAAAACCAGCATAACTTTATTTTAAATTATAAAAAGTGTGATTTGGGAGTTTTTAAAAGTTAAATGCTAAATTTGGTTGACATTTGTGTCTCATATAAAACAGACTAATAAAATACCGGTAGGCCTATCTATAATTATGGCATGAAATGGAGTTAGATAAATGGTATAACTATACCAGTTCTAGGGAAAGATTAACTTAGGATACACATTGCAAAGTAATTCTTAGATAACTTAGTAACTTTGGCCTAAGAATTACTTATCTACAAACAATTACAGTATTTTCTTGATGAATTTAGTGTTTCTAATTTAAATAATATACCATTGTTTAGGTCTTATAAGTTAATAAATTGAAACTGAACCAAAAACGTACATGGATTGGCATAACTTAATAAAGAAAAAATCAAATCTTTTCACTTATTGTTTAAACAACATTTTAGCGATCCTAGCATCCTCTTATTTCTTTATTTTCCATATTTCCAGTAATGCTATTGACAGAAATATACAATAACTCTTATTAACAACCGCTGTTTTTAGAATGAGGAACATAAATAAAACTTTAAACTATTCTAACCCCTCCTTGATGGGTTACAGATACCGGTATATCCACTTAATTTTTCAGCATTTTAGGGACGGGTGATGAATAAATCCATATAGCCTAACTGTTGTAGATTAAGCTGATATTTCCATGTAACTTAGATGGACTAGTTGGAGTTTTATTTTCTTCAGTAACTAAGCACGTTTTTGCTGCACTATGGCTCTACCTGCCCAGAAAAACTTCCAGCTTAACACTTACATTTACACAAACATCTTTGTAGTAAAGAAGTTTTATTGCATATAACCTACGTATTAAAAAAAAAAAAATCTTGCCTAATAAGGGCAATAAATTTATTTAAAATATAAAATAAATTTTATTTCTTATATAGGCCTATCGTTTAAGCCTATAACATTTTGTTATGTTTGCAAAGGACGGGCTGCATACATCTATAACTTTTTCCGATGTCCAAAAATGCTTAGCGGATACATCCACACCATCTTTAAAATCAAAATAAGTTTGTTGGTATTTGTAAATTTTCCTGTCCTAGGCCACATGAGTCTAGGAAGTGTTATATCTTAATTTAAGAACTAATCCAACTTACTTAAGATGAATCATTAATAAAGGCAGCTATCATTTAAATTGTTAGTGTAGTAATGTAGTATTATGGAATAATAGCCTATAGTTTAAAGCCATGGAACATAGTTTTTATCAGGTTAAATCTTATTCGATGATTTACAAGTCTTCAATCATTATTATCTTTATATATTTCACTAACTTAGATAAAATGTTGTGTGAATTTTTAATTGCAGCATTAACTGGTCAACAGCTTAGCCAAGTATAGAGTTTACAATATTTGTCATGTTTGTTTCAGGGGTCCCATATGACGTGACAGGGAGCGAGCAGTATGCAAGTAGTTTTGCACCTGCTCGTGTTTGCGGCACTACGCCTAGGAGGAGTGACGACTACTATTGTCAAGACTTTTTCGGATGATGCAGGAACGGAAAAGTTTAATCATATGGTGGTGGATAAAAACACGGGTAGAGTGTACGTAGGAGCAGTGAACAGACTGTACCAGCTCTCACCTGAGCTGGATCTGGTGATGAGTGATGTGAACGGACCACACGATGACTCGCCGGAGTGCTCCGTCATCGACTGTCCCAGCAATGTGGTCAAGAAGAAAACAGACAATGTAAATAAAGCCCTAGTCATAGATTACACTACTAGTAGACTGATATCATGCGGCAGCTTATTTCAAGGGATGTGCTCCGTGAGAAACCTCCATAATATATCCGATATAGCTTTATCTGTGAAAGAGGCGGTGGTCGCTAATAATGCCACAGCGTCGACTGTGGCCTTCATTGCGCCCGGTCCTCCCAACCCTCCTGTCACCCAAGTCATGTATGTGGGAGTCACATACACTGGTAATTCTCCATATCGGTCGGAAGTGCCAGCAGTATCTTCACGTAGCTTGGACAAAGACAAAATGTTCATGATAGCAGCTACGGCAGTCACCACCGGCACTCGGATGTTTGTCAATTCGTTAGCTCGAGAAAGATATCCTATTAACTACATTTACGGTTTCGCTTCCGAAGGCTTTAGCTATTTTTTGACTACCCAAATGAAATACAGTTCACCGTCCCCCTTTATTTCCAAATTAGTAAGAGTGTGTTTCGACGACAGCAACTATTACTCGTACACTGAGATTCCAATCGATTGTATAAGTGAAGGAGGAAAAGCTTACAACTTAGTACAAGCTGGATTCGTCGGAAAACCCGGTTCGGACCTAGCAGCGGATCTCGGAATCACGGCTCAGGACGATGTATTATTCGCTGTATTCTCAGAAAGTGAACAGACAGAAGGTGAAGGCTCGAGTAAACCGAGTCCTTATAGTGCGTTGTGTGTATATTCATTGAAGGCCATCAGGAGAAAATTCATGCAGAATATCAAGACCTGCTTCAGCGGCCTTGGAAATCGAGGGCTGGACTTCATTTCTCCTAGTCACAACTGCATTTTAACGGTGAGTTTAGATTTAATTATTCATTTTATCACTGTATTTGTTGTATATGTAGGCTAATCAGTGGGCTAGAAATAGGAAAACTTTTCTGCCATGGCAATAACTTATCTGTCCGGTTGAGATAAGCTCTGGTTCCACTTAAACAAACATTATTTTGTACAACATATATATAGGCCTAGTGACTATTACAATATATACCAATTTAGGTTTACCTTGTGTGCTAGCATAATTAAATTATTGCTTAATGCATTTGAAAACCGAACGTCGGGACCACATCACTTTCTCCTAATTTAGTGTAAGCTTATAAAAAAGTAAACTAGATGAAGCATTTTTTTCATATCCATTATAGATACCTAGTCCCTACCAACATTCATAAAATGGTGCTAAAGCCTGTTATTATGTAATTAATTGTCATCTTTTAGTTCGTGATTTGCAAATCGGAGGCTAAAATAAATAAATATCCCTCCTAAGCAAACCTTAAGACTTGGCGGATTTTCATTTGCCTGATTAGCTTAGGCCTAGATATTTCCATAAACTTCTCTTAGAAAAAAAACATGAGGTTTAATTATTATACCGTACCGGTACTTATATCCTTATAAACCGATATTTTTGGCCTGTGGGTAGGCCTACATCAAAACGAAAAAGTATATCTGTTCCAGGGTCCAGATCTTACCATCAGACCTAGGTAATAGCTTATCCCTATATGGAAGTTTTTATAAAATCGGTTTTGTTTAATTTAGAAAAATATGTAGCCTACTGTGTTTAGTTAACCTTTTTTAGTTGATCTAACAATAGCCGTCTAAAGTGAAATAGGCCTATAAGTTATTATTTCCACTACAATCACCACTGAGTGTGCATGTGATAGCTCCATTCAGTGCCTCATGCCTCAGTATGAGGCAACTTTTGTCATCACTTATTAGGGTTAGGCTACAGTGTTTAAAAATGGCTTCGCTAATCATAACGATCTGCAAAATGACAATATTTAATTAAAATAGGCCTAAGACATTTTGATGCAAATAAGAGTAAATTTTTGTCAAGAAGCCAGGCATCATTACAAGGAAGATGATAAGAAAGTACACTTGATTACTAGTTCCTTATTGCCGGGCACATATTTTTCAAGAGGGGCACCAAAAGCTTTTAAAGGGACTCACCAGCTACAGTAAACAGTAGCCAACCAAACAGAAACAGCATGCGGTTATTGGTACTCAATCGTGCACCTGTAGGGTCGGATAACAATGAAGTAGAGCCAGTGTCTCAAGGGGTCTTTCAGGCATCACAGTGATAAATGATTTAAAAAAAAATTGTCAAAAAACAAAGTAGGCCTAAACACAATAGTTAATTATGTTTTTAATTATGCTATATTGGTTATACATATACACATTTACATGCTCTACAATTTCAAAGTGGTTAATCTCAATTTGACTATTATCTATCAATCATTACCTATTGAATTAAGCCTTGATGTATATAAAGTATTGAACAAAAAATTACAGTAGCTGCTCCAATCTTCTAATTAAAAAGAAATGCATTAGGCCAAAACATCGCTTAGAAGAGCCTAAAAAATAATAGGGGGCTTATACTGAGGGCTTTTATTCTTCTCATGTTTAGAGGTCACCTTGCGTTTGCCTGTCCAGATAGGCTTTGTGTGGAATGTATGTAGCATAACAAGGGGTGAGCCGGTACAGTACAAGGGGGAACTGTACTGATAAAAAGTAAGCCTAGTGGAAGGTACCTGAATCCGAACCCATGACAACGCTGCCTTGGGCCCAAAGTACGCACTCTACCGACTGAGCCACTGACCCATCTTTAAATATGACAGAAAATTATATTTCACATTAGCCTATATTTGGAATGCAAGTCTATTTCCGGCCAAGATATGGGAACCATTTCTTTACCTTACTACAAAAAACATTAATTTATAAGTTAATAAAGTGTGACAGTTCTAACTCCTAAAAACAAAAACTAAATACAAATACCACTGCAAATCTGCAGACTAAGCAAATTTGAATTTGCCTGATTGGATTTTAAGTAACATATTTAAATAAACAAGTCATTAATTTCCCTTTTAAATAACATTGATTTAATTTAACGAGTACTTAGGTTTGCTACTATGGGGATAGGAAAAAGTGTTTTTTAGAACAAATGTTAATTGTATAGAATAATAAAGTAAATAAATTTGCCAAATTAGATCAGAAACCATCCATAAAAAAGCAAACTGCTAAATATTTTTTCTCTCCGTAAGGTTAACATGAGGAATTTTAAATGTAGAGTGTTTTGGAATTTTCTTTGTAAACTTTAAAATTGTACCACAACGCTTCAGTATGCAAAATTGTTTGTTTTAAGTTTTATTTTATGGCTGTAATGAAAATTGAGCATTTCCATGCTAAATGGGTAAACATTTGGGGAATAAATTAATTTACCATTTGACTCTTTTGTTTTGGGACCCTTAGGTTCCAACACCATGCTTCTCTTAATTGTAATATGTATGCAATAAGGGTTTTTCAAAAGTACTTTTTTGGAAAAAAAACAAACAATAAGTAGGCCATATACATTTTTGTTTGCATTTAGATTAGGCCTACCGATATAGGCTAATCAGAGTGCAAAACACAGTAGGCCTATTTTGGTTCCTACCTTATCCTTTCGGTGTATATTCCAGTGGATTACTTGATTATCAATTAATCTTGGTGGCAAATCTTTTTATTTTATCGAAACCCTCTACATTTAGTGTAAACCATACCTATTTAATTTCCTCGATCAAACGTTAGTAAGTTACTCGATAAAATGTTTTTCATACTGGGTGTGGATCTTTAAAGTCAATATACTTTAATCGTAAAACAATTTTTCAATTACAATTCAGCAAAGCGCAATCTAGAAAATACTTTGGTCTGCAAGTTTGCTGTGACAAGGTCATTTTAATATTGTAATTAGTTTTTACACTGAAAAATATAACTCGCACATTGACCCAAGGATTATTACAAGCTTAAACAATGTCTACAGTCAATTTCAAAGTGCACTTAGCTAGGGATTAAAAATTCAAATAGACCTAACAAAAATACCTAAGGCACTGATAATCATTTCCATGTCATTGGTTATCTTGTCCAGGTTCATTATGGCAAACACTGTGCACAAGAGATAAAACTTGTGTTATTGTCTGTTTGAGTTGGTATAATAGCCACTTAAAACTGTGCAATCTGTTAATTCATTTGACCCAATTGTCCTTTGCTCTCTGTCATCCTCATTGTGTCGCTCTCGAACAATTTTCTTTTGATCATCCTTGCATTTACTTTGTCCTGTTCATTACTGTTATATATTAGGCCAAAGAAGAAATGTCTTAATAGCTTGATTGTTTAATATGAGCTAGAGATTACACTTTCGAACAATATCGGAATTTATTTATGATTCAGAAACATTGTTTGAGATTCTCACAAATCATTAAGACTCGTTTGTCAATCTAATGAGAGGTTCTATTATGATACAAGTACGGTATAATATTAAGGTATTATAAGGCTACCTGACATATTAAAATGGGGTTTAATGAAAACATCGCTTATTAAATAAAAAACACATTTACTTAAGAGCTTATAGGGTGGACCCTATCTTATCTTATTAAGGGTAAACAACTCACCATTAGTATCTCAGGAATGGCCCCCCTCACCCATTGGTAATGCAAGTAAATTGTAATCATTCTCTATATGTCAGATTGTGTTGAGTTAATGACAAATTCGGGACCTGTCCCCACTTGATTTTTCAGGAAATCAAAACCAATAATCATTGCTCAACATTTACAAAATGTAAATGATTCTTTCAAGAATGTTAGTACAATATAATTTAAGTTTAATTTTGTAAATTGTAATTAAAGTGTTTGTGTAATAGTATAAAAATAAGACAAGTAGAATCAACCATACGCATAAATACAGTGGCTCTATTGGGGTGGGGAAGGCAGTCTTCATGTACTAGTTATGATTGATATATTTGAATCAGTGAGTGCCGTGCCAAACGTGTTGCTTTGCAGCTACAAGCTCGCACACACGCGCGCACACCAACACGCACGCACTCACGCTCGCGTGCAAACCTCACTAATCTGGACAAAACATAATTAAATTAAAATGCAAAACTTTCTGTTCGCTCTTTGTTGCTGGGTGAGTTTGAAACAACTTTTTAAATACTAAATAACTATCACGTGAAAAGAACTGTATACGGAAGTATTCTTTTGTGTATTTTGACAGTTAACACTACCTATCTTAATTTAAAAATTTTTAAAAGTTTAGCTCGTGGTTTTAAATTTAAGAATTTAAAAATGTATTTTTTGGAAATGCTTATTGCTTAGTTCAGTTTCGATGAAAGTCGAGATCGTTTTGCCTTAACGAACATTTTCAGCAAAACTTTTATCTAAAATCTGTATGATTATTTGACAGACTACATTGTCATTAACAGTGTGAATTGTCGTGCAATAGAGGTTGATGTATTTTTTTTATCACAACTGAACTCCAGGCTTTGGGAGTTTAACACCGTAATTATATTATTTCTACACGGGAAACTCTAATGTAGTATAAATATAAACTATCAGTTTGACGACTGGATAATATTGTTGTTGAGAATAGATTAATATATAAGTTTAGAGCCACAATGCAACAAGTGACAATGGAAGATAATAAATATGTTAAATAAACCCTTAAACAATTAATAGACCTGACGGAATGACAAAATGTAACTATAATAAACTGGTAATTCATACAAAAAAGTTAATAATAATTCAACGATTAGACAATAGTATTAATAAATATTTACATTTAAACATTTCATTGTTAATACATGTTTTCAACCAAGCAAATTAAAAATAAAAGAAGACGAGGTACCTAAATAATCAAGCTACTTAACGGCATTGATGATTTTCTGTAGTACTGCTCTACTTATTTCCTATCTGACTTGAAGAAAAAATATTTTCAATGTGTATATACTCAAATGGAATGCATTCATCGCCTTACAACCGAACTCTATATACA